TTCCATCAGGCTTATAAATGGGATATATGCCAGAAAGGTTTCTATCTAAACCTTTTTGGGTTTGTTCACACCAGACCCGTTGGCCTGTGTTGGGCAGCAAAATCCCAATGCAAAGATAAGGCTTTATATCCTATTATCTGCGTCCTATGTCCTGGTTTGAAAAAAGTAGTGCATGTTGCGTTTTTGCATAGCACTATATCACATTGAAACACACTGCTGTGCATAGAGCTAATAGGGTGTAAAGTTAAATAGAAATTTAGAAAAATGCAAGCACTGTTATGTATTGTAGCAATGCATCACAGAGCTCATGCACAACGCTCACTAGTGCGTAAAATGTCATAATTCCAAACAAAATGTAACTATATACGGTACCAGTGTTAATGTCTGCAAGTATTTATGTCAGTATATCTGTTTGTGATGGTTTCTTTGTATGCAATGTCAGTATATTTTTTTAGTGTTGGTTTGTGTGTGTTTTGTCAGGATTTCTGTAAATGATGTTGGTATGTGTTTTAATGTTTTTGTGTGTTTAACATCAGTATGTATGCATGTGTATATGTGTGCAGTGTCAGTGTGTGTTCCCCCCCACAGGTTTTAATTGTAAATATAGAGGTCCAACAGATCTGCACATTCACTCACACACAGAAATACACACACACACACAGACATACGCACACACACAGACATATGCACACACAGGAATACGCACACAGACAGAATACACAGACACACAGAAATACGCAAAGAGAAATGCGCACACAGAGAAATACACACAAAGAGAAATACACACACAGAAATATGCACACCCCCACACACAAAAATACACACACACACACACACACACTAATACGCCCCTCCCCCGCACACACATAAAATAAAAGAAAGAGCCCCCTCACCATTTTTTGTGGTCCAGTGTGGGATTAGTACAGCCTGCACCTTAAAGCTGGCCATACACTTTACAACCATCGCAAGACTTTTGTCTTGCGATGGTTGTAAGCTAATTAAAAGCTCATACGATCTGCCCATCTTGGACAGGCAGATCGTACTTGCGATCATCGCAAGCCCGCCCCGCTGAGGGGAGGGTTTCCGATGACTGCAATGCTGAGCGGGCAATGTGCGCTTGCGCACACCGGCCCGTTCGGCATTTGTCTTACGAGCACGCCACAAACCCGCCGAAAATCTTACGATTCTCAGCTGATTTTCCAACATGCTCGTAAGACAAAAGACGTGCAACCGTACAGTAGAAACGGTTGCACGCCTTCCATACACCTGCCGATTATCGTACGATCGCAGGGTTTCACGCGATTATCGTACAATAATCGGCAGGTGTATGGCCACCTTTACTTTCTTCCTTCTGGCACATGCTGCCTCTATTTCATTTGACACATTCCTTGGTGGTCCAGTGGTTGATTAGTATGGTTTGCACCTTTGGCTGGTGCAGACATTTCTAAAGGTGCCCATACACTGCACGATTCTCGTACGAGAATTGCGGGAAACGAGAATCGTGCAGTGTATGGAGGGCGTGCGACCGTTTCTAATGTACGGTCGAACGACTTTTGTATATCGAGCATGTTGGAAAACCAGCCGAGAATCGTACGGCTATATATTGTATTTATTCACATGTAGATTATTATTAGATTGCATGTGTAGTTATAAAATGCATTGCACGTTTATAATTCACTAGGGATGCTTTTGCACCTATACCGATACCTACACAGCCCGTCTGAGACCCCGTACACAGCCCTCCTGAGATCCCGTATAGTCCTCCTGAGACTCCGCACGGCTTCCCACCAGGATATTGAATATCCTGTCTCCCTCCTGGCTGTCTCTCATTGCTCTTTCTCCTGGCTGTCTCTCACTCTATCCCCTGGCTGTCGCTCCTGCCTCCCTCTCCTCTCGGTCTCTCCTCTTTCTCTCCTGTCTGTCTCTCCTCGCTCTCTCTCTCTCCTGTCTCTCTTTGCTCTCTCCTCTAGCTCTCTCTCCTGGCTGTCTCGCCTCATTCTCTTCTCTCTCCCCTTGCTGTCTCTCCCCGCTCTCTCCCCTGGCTGTCTCTCCTCGTTCTCTCTTGTTTATTCTAAAAAAAAGTTGCAGTGTGGTGCTAAGACTGTTCGGGATTCGCTTGAAGAAAAGGCAGCAACTCTTGCAGCACCATTCTGTTTACTATGCGTTCGGCATCACATAGTGTTGCCCCCACCTCTTCCGTATGCTGCTGTTAGGGCCGGGGGGGGGAGCAAGAAATTGTTTGCCCAGGGTCCAATCAGTATTAAAGACGGCCCTGAGTATATGTTATGCTTACTATTATTTCTTAGCAACAACTATTTCATGATAGTGTAATAGGGAGGAAAGTATGATTACAGAACACACGTGTTGTTGAACACTGGAAATTAAAATGCTTTGTTATAAAGGAATCATTGTGTATAGCATTTCTAAAAGGACGAGGACACTGAGCATGTGAGAAGATTAGTAACCTCTTGGTTTCACTTCACACCTTCATTATGCAAGTTCACACTTCCATTGTTAAAGAGCAAGGGTACAAGTTACACTGAATGTTTATAGATGCTTGGTTCCTATAGATCTGAGGTACTGTTAGAAGAAACAGACCAAACTGCATAAGCATTATATACAGAAAATATGTATATAGGAATTGATGAATGTGACTCAGTTGAGAGACACAGGCTGATGTGAATGATTTTTGTACACTGTATAGCGCTGCAGAACATGCCATTGCGATATAAATATGGTAAATAATATGGAAATATTACAAACTGTATACAACTTCTGAAATCAATGTTCTACATCACAAATCAGCAGTTCAAGTCACCAGTATTAAAGTGTATTTCTAGCCCCAATTTTTGTTTTCTTTAGTTTTGGATATATAGAGGAAGGGTAAAAACCCTGGGGAGATTTTCCTTCACTTCCTGTCTTGGAGATAAAACAAAGTAAGAGGAGTTAACATCTTACACCTTATGCACAATATGCCTATATTAAGGCCATGTTTTGTGTCTAAAGAGTCACAGGTGCAGCGTACACCAGCCTGCTCAAATCATTGACAGGCTGTGCACAATTATGTGTGGCTATATGTAAATCCGAACAGCTCCATGGGCACACGACCACATGCACACTCCCAAATGCCTATACCCATACGGCCCTGTATGTTCGTAGCCGCTTAGACGGTTATTACTAGAACATTTGTCTCCAGATTTCTCCTCACTTGTTACTCTCAGGACTATTTAGGAGTTCCTTTTACTTCTGTCGGTGACAATAGACACCAGGACAAATAAAGGGGTGAATCTCCCCAATGGGAACAGTGCAATAAAATATTGGTAGAGGATCTTACCTTTTCCTACTCTATCCAAAAAGAAAAAGTTACCTTTGCATACACTTTAAGACTGGATTTACATGGACACTGGATCCACAAGAGGCATCCATCATCAGTGGTGTTAAGGTAGCATTTGTGTCAAATCACTCTCTTGGCAAGAAAGGGCAGATCGCTATTTGCCAAATGTTTCAGAACATTTTTTTGCAACGTCTTAAAACACTACCTTCCAACAGCTTACATGTGAACTGAACTGATTAACTACTTTGGCCCTGTTGTTTAGGAGGCCCTTGCTAAAAGTAAGAACCCACTCACCAAGCTCTTCCTTTAGCGAACCATGCAAATCCAAAATAAATCCCCACGAACAAATTTTTAAACGAAGTGTAAATATATCTTTAGATGAAAGAGAGATAGAAATCACTGAATTGTATAAAACTAAACATCTAGCCCAGTAAAATTTGCTATTTTAGTCAGTGTATTAGGTTGCTATGTTCACTGGCTGCCTACTGGACCACACTGAATACAGGACACCTTGTCCATGCATTCCCTTCACCTTTTCTGTCATGTCATCCACATTGTCACATACTGAGCTAACAAGTAGACATGTAACCCCACAAAAATTTTTTTGATTTTGGATCAATTTCAGATTTTTATTTTCTTTGTTTTTCGGATCTGAAATTTGACTCTTAATTATTTGGAATTCGGATCTGTCTGAATTTTCATTTTGGAACAAAGTCACATGACCGTTCCTGTAATGCAACCCCCAACAGTCCCAAAAAAACATCTGACTGACTAGAGAACAGTCACATGTCCAATTTAGTTTTGTTTTGAACGAAATTTGAATGGATCTGAATTTTCGTTAACAGGAACATTCAGATTTGTTTGCATTTGGATTCGTTCAAATTAAGAAATTTGGATGCATTTGAATGTCCAAATTTTACGAAATTCGTACCAAAATCCATTGGGAACTAAATTAAATTTACATGTCTACTAACAAGTGGTGTAGGCGTAAAATCCTACATCATGTCTGCAATATATATGCATACGTGGACAATCTGCCACTTCAAACATCCTGTCTAAATGAATTCCATGAATGCTTGGTTCTCCTACTTTTAATATGTTTTTTTTTACCAGCTAAGCTGCATGTTTATCATGATTTCCACAAATGACAAGCTTGCTATAATTTTCACTATTGTTAGCTAGTAAAAACATTACACTAAGGGTTTGTATATATAGGCATTTGTTAACTATAAGTGTTTTCCCTTAACCCTTTCGCTGCCAAGCCCTCCGGAACATTTTTCAAATCAAGCAGTGCCAGCAGGGGGGGGGCGCCCGGTATTTTTTAAAATAGCGGTCATCAGCGGCTTGTGAGCCGCTGATGACAGCTATAAATTTAAAGGGGACAGTCTGCTGAACAGTTCTACTATAAGCTGATGGTCGCTAAAGCGACCATCAGCTTATAGTAGAACTGTGAATGCCAGGTCCGTACGGCGTACTGAGCTGGCCAGCTGGAAGCACTTTTGTAGCTCCGTACGACGTACGTCCTTGGCAGCGAAAGGGTTAAAGCAATCCCAATGTCCTTACCCCCTTTTTTCTTTGCGAAACCGAAGACAGCTTTTCTTCAAACTGGTACTCTAGCTCACATCCGTTATAATGTCCTGGTAAGACAAAAACGTTATAAACATACCATCCTGGTACACATCCTCAATTGGATATTCCATAAAGAGGATAAGCTCTGGGTATCCCAGAAGAATCCCTATTAGGCCTCCTTCCGACATCACTCTATGGATACACCTTAGTTCCAGGCCACAGCTTTGTTCTCTTCCATACTGTGTAGATTCCTTGTTGAAAATATGAGAACAATGTAATCTCTCATTTCATTTTGGTCTTCTGACCTGTTTTGCAAAACCCAATATTCCTCCCTGTTCTGACCCCTACGCAATTACCTTATCTGGTGTCGAGGTACCCTATCCCCAGCTAAAGATGCTTTCCATGACAATCAACTGAACATATTTTCTATTTTTACCTTTGATCTACCTCCTGCCCTCCGGGATGGCTACAATATTTGCAAAAACAAGAAAAACAAGCCCTCTCACCCTTTTTACAACTTTATGCCCTTCTTCTGTCTCATGCTCTCCCTCAGATAACTTGGAATTAAAAAAGGGACCTTAAAGCCCCATTCACACTGAGCGATTTATCGCACGATTTTTGCAGCGATATCGCTCTATGTAGCTTCTCCAATCCATTTCAAATGGAGCTATTCACATCTCGCCACTCAATATTGCTTGTAGCTCGTCGCTGTAGCTTGTCACTCCTACATGACCCTTTTTTCTGCGGATTTCGAGCGATTTTGCTCCTGATTGAATACAGCCCAATAGGGACAAGTCGCGCAATATCGCACATCTAAAAACATGCATTTCATTGTCCTGCCTCACTCCTCAAGATTTATTTGACAGCCACTGCTGGAGATATGGACATTATATAGGCACCATGTTACATATGTGGTGGTCTTGCCCTCCATACATGGCTTCTGGTTGCAGTTTCTTCAAATCTACAACACTGTTATAAAAGCACAAATTTTAATATCTTTTACTATTGCTCTCCTATCAATACTGCCAGAATCCATCTCTAATGCCAAAAAAGGCTTTTTTGTGATTCTTGATGCAAGCCACAAAAATTATAATCCCTCAACACTGGAAGACCACCATAGTCTCAACAACCTACCATACCATGATAGGTAAGTGCAACCTATTATACCATGAAAGGCATCTGGTTTACCTCACTCCCTGGACCATCTGGATCACTTTATTGGACTCACCACACTTCCTAATCATTATCTTTTAAGAAGATACATAATAGTGTTAAAGGGGACTCCCCCCCACCCCTCCCTATCCCCGGGCGTAAACATCTTCCTCTGCCCCTGACCTTTAGGTAGTACCAGTGGCGTAACAACCGGGGGGGCGGCTAAATGCCGAAAGTGCCATTTACTTGCCGTTTTGTCGGCGTATCCGTGATTTCTTTCCTCCCCGCTGGGCGATGTTCTTTGTCCCAGCAGGGAGTAGTGAAAGTGACAGCCAGCCGAGCGCTGCGGGAGGAGACCGCCGTGATCGGCCGGCGTCTCCTCCCACACCAATCTGCCGCCTATCACAGTCTAGCAGAGCGGTGTGGGGGCGAAGACAGCGCTCTCACAGGAGGCTGGGCTTTCCTTCCTACACCGCTCGCTCAGCCTCCTGTGACAGCGTGTGTCTGTGTCAGAGAGGAGAGCAGGCTACATACACTCAGCGATCGCTGAGTGTTTGTAGATAATTGAGGACATGGTATGGTTACTGTATCCTCAATTATGAATGAATGGGAGTGATCTATATCCCCTCCTGTTCATTCATAGTTGTAGTTATAGTCAACATACTATATTCTCAATGAACAGGAACACTCAGTATAGAGGATTCCTGCTCATTGATAACAGGGGACACAGAAAAAGAGATTGAGGACTCTGGGTGTTCTCAATCAGGTAGTACTCTTGTCCTTCCCTTTTTTTATTTTCTCTTTCTCTCACTCTTGCTTTTTGTTTTTCTACTGTTTTAAAGTCATGCTACAACAACAAGGCACCAAAGTAAATCTGGAGCTTAAAGTGACATTAACCCCTTCATGACTGAGGCCTTTTTTTCCTTTTTTGCACCCATGTTAATGGGGCGGTCTCTCTACGGGACACAGAAGCGATCTGGCGACAGGTAAGTCGCCAGAATCACTTCTGTTGTAAAGCCGACAGTCGGCTTTACGAGTTTAAACAATAGCCGCCGGGAGTCTGTTTAATCAGCCCCGATGCTGGCGACGTACACTGTACGTCGTCAGTCACGAAGGGGTTAAAGGATAAAACATTTTTCCCTCCCCCCATGTTAATGTTAGCACTTACCTTAAATGATGTCTCTTAATCTTCTTCCTGATGTTTTCATCTGTCCCTCCAGCGGTGCGGCGCCTCTCCGGTCCAGCGCTGACTCCTCTCTGCTTGCTGGCACTCCTGATCCCACGGTGTCTGCATGTGGGTGCACGCGTCCATAGACTTACCTTGCGTCCCTGCTCGTCTCCCGGCCAAGAATCCGAACTGCGCGCATGTGCCCGCCCCAAGATGCTTTGCGGCCCGAACAGTTTGGTTTTCTCTGGCGGGAGCGCGCAGCGAAAAACAATGTAAGTTTAAACTGCTGTTAAAGCGTTTAAAAAAAAACAAAAAAAACTGTTTGCCTATATCTGCTGCTTGATAGCAGTAGATATAGCCAAACGGGAGGGTTTAGAGCCCCTTTAACATGACCAAACATATATATAATGATGGAGATGAGGTCTAAGTCAATCAACCATGATCATCTTGCATTATAAAGGAAACTATTTGATGTACAGATGGCCTCTTGACAAAAAGATCTGCTACTGGGAAGATTACCAGATGGTC